CCTTTTATAGTTCGGTTGACCATGCGACTTGATTATGCGTGCCATGGCAACGTAATCGTGCGGAAAAGCATGGAGTCGTAAGTCTGATGTAGCTCGACGCTGACCTAGAATTAATGGGAAATGTTTCACCAGTTTATTTTAAGGATCCTATATCCTCGTCAGAAGTCTTTAAACGGAAAGTCGATGTGATGACCTCGGGTGTTCGAGGGTTCTTGCTTAACAACTGACGCAAATGGATCCCAGCCCGACCAGAAAGTGAGTATCGAAATTGTGTTGCACTTCATGGGCAATTAGAGGAGTTAGGTGCCTGAGTGTGGCGTACGGAATCCACTCTATACAGCAAAAACCATGATTATTGACACAAAAAATTGCCGCAAGCTTCGTTTGTAGTGGTCTAAAAGATTCGTCAAATCATGACTCGAATCGATTGTAGCTTTGCAAATCCAGGCGTCCTATGGATGCTTCCACAAGAGCGTATAACTAGATAACATGCGTTCTGTATTTAAGATGCTCCGATAACCCCCGAATGCTCGATCATCTTCGCACCCACCCCACCGTCCAAGAGTTGAGCCAGCACGGAAACCTAGAATGCGGTATGGGAAATATTGGGTATGATGTATCGAGTGACTAGAAGCTGGCCAGGTTGAAAGAGGAGATATCCGAGCGCTTTATCAGTAATGGAATCATCGGTGCACCATCTGAGGGCCGTCACGATTACTATTGCCATGAACTCAGCTCTTAGATCCTGGATTCCTGATCCAAGCTCTTTCCAGGGCAGCTTCGCGACCGCCTCGCTATGGAGGCCTCTCGTCGACCTTCTAAGATTCCAAAGAACCCACGCCGGATGTAATTTTTGACGAATCCATCAATTTGTTTCACCGTGGCTGTATATTGCCAGGAATGCCTTCTAAGATACTTAATTTTAGGGATGATGACCGTTGAAGCAGTAAAATATCGCTGCTTCATTGTGAAAGTCTTTTGACGTGCCAGTTTTACTTTCGTCCGTAATGAGCCTCCGTAAGTCCCCAAATAGAACTGGTACTGACCGCGCTCCCTGCCTGAATAACTAAATACCGACAGTTACCACTCGACTGCAATATTATGCTGGCCGATCTCGAAGAGTATTGGCGGGTATTCTGTGCGCATGCAACGTAATAGCTGCCGTCTTCCCTTTTTCAGTATCAGTCCGGCATATCGTGATAGTTACTGATTGTTATCAGCATCTTTTCGACTTCGTTCGGCAATTTAAAGTAGACCGCCGTGCCATCGGCATAGCCGGCCACCCGCAGTGAGGATGAATAAGAGTCAGTATTGTTGCAGAGGAACTTCGTTATGACTGCCCGGTAAAATTGATTTTGATGTAAAGGCTACGAAGCTAGGATGAAGACAAGAGGTGCGAGGGTGCAGCCCTGCCAAATTCCTCGTGTCATGAAAACTTCCTCAAGCTTTTTTCCGCTCGCCGTAAATCTCACGGTGAACACAGCGTTAAATCTTGATGGCGCCACAAAGTTCTGCGGAAAGCCATGGCGACGACATGTAGCATATAATTGCCTCATGTCCGGAGAATCATAAGCTTTCGCGAAGTCGAGAAGTAGCGTCAGTGCGTCTCTGTGAGCACCGGAGTCATTCGTCGCAACCCGAGCCGCCTCGAAGAAATAGTCATAGTGCGAACATTCCTGCCCGGTGCAAATTCAAGTTGATGTAAATTAATTTGCGTAGGTATAGAAGTAGTAGAGAGCTCCTAACTTGGGTGGCCATTAGACGGTTCAAATTTTATAGTCCGTATTGAGGAGAGCGACAGGAGAGCACAAAGTGGGTTGCTACCATCCTCCGACTTTTCAATAAAAAACAGACTTTTGAGAGTCAAGCTGGGTAAATTTGATCGGTATACCACATCTGGCTGAGTCGAGTCAGTAGGGGGATTAGTACCTCAGAATATTGCCGCTACCAGTCGTTGCCGAGGTCCGCATACTTTCCCTAATTTGCAGGGCCTTTATTTCTGCGGCAACCCTGGCTTCCCTGATAAAGACAGTGTTGGAAGTGCATGATGCACTGTTTTCGACTCCAGAGATTCGACCCATGATAGGGTATGTGTAGAATGCTCTTTAGGGTTCTATGCATTTTAATAGGTCGTACAGCAGCTAGATGTATGGATAGTTCTCACTTGTAGATTGACAAACCACTGATGAGGCCCCCCGGCGGGGGGAACGCGTCTGGTGCGCGGTAATATACAACTCGTTTACTTTACAAAACTCTTACTTCTAACAGACAGCTCTATCTAAATAAGAAACATCGTGAGTATATCTTGGGCGCATTTAATCGATGCTAGGTGCCACATTTTGTGGCTATGTCGACCCCTGAAAGATCGGAGTCCAGGCGTCCGCAAGAATATCTGCTTTCTTGTAAACCATGCGTGTTGTTCGTTCGTGAGCGGAATAAAATGCAGGTATCGTGTTATCGGCAAACTTGCTAGAAATCCGTTAGAATAGATGTCTAGTTGTTTGGCCGTCCCACCAAGTGTGAGATCGAAAGAGCCGACATTGTTTGTATCCCGACCATTCACGTTTGGTGATAGCTATGCGGTACCACATCGCCTTGGTTTTCTTTTAAAAAGATTTACGCGCTGACGGTGATGTGACAGTGGCCACAAACAGCCTCTCTTGAACCTTGTCAAGTCTTTGAAGTAGGCATCGAAGTTTCTTGCGATACGTATTTCGTAATGATTTTATAGCGTCACGTGTCGTTTTTAGGATTTCAACGAACACACATTTCTTATATCGATCCCATAGTCGAGTGGCGTCATCTCCGAGGAAAGATCCAGTACTTAAGCTTATTAAAAACCTAATTGCGCGAATTGAAAAGGCGTCCACACGTTTACTTGCATACAATAGCACTGGGTAAGCTCGAGGGATCTTACAACTGACAGGTTTGTCTAGACTTCGGAGATGTAACGGTACACCTTTATGATTTCCTTCTACCCCGTGTTCATCAATATCTGTGTCTGCTATCCAGACACGGGCTTGGTTATTAACATCACATTAATCACGTCGACTTGACGCCAGCCCGTACCCTCTGACTGGGTAGTGATAAGTATAATTAGTCGCATAGAAACGGGCAAGCACAGCCCGGTCAGTCTCCCCAGAATGTAATTAGCGGAGGTGTCCTCTAGCCTCCACCGGCGTAAGAGATCTCGTAGTCCTCGGTATTCGTGATCCATTGCAGTAGGTGCATGTCATCGGTCAGCAAAACCTTGGAGGTTGCAATTGAGGTTCGCTCCTCGTAAAAACATGCACGTCGTCCGGAACTGTAAGCGCACCAAGCATAAAAATAGAGTTTCTTTCGCGACGGTTCAGTAGGTGCATGAACGTTCACGAAGAATACATCATCTGTTCCATTCGACACTTTGAGTGCCACGAAGTGGGTTGTCCAGAGCTTCTACCGTAAAGGGGTCGCGTCGAAGAGCTTACTACGCGGATTGAGTAAATTACCAACACCAGCTCTTCGTTGAAAAGGCTGACCGATCGGACAAAAGTGGATACCTTGTTCCTGTTCGATACCCTCATTTTCGGGAAAGCCCTTGCAAGACGTCAACGTTGTCGCCTGCAGGGACGTGGATTTCTTGCACAATTGCTACATCAAAATGGGATGAATGACATTACGACTGCGCGAGCATGAAAATAGCACAATCCGGTTAATCCTTACACACGTTTAATTTCATACAAGTGGTGGGCGATTAATTCTAGCAATTGTGATAGCTGCAGATTTATTTGACAAACACAACTGCTGAGCTCACTAACTGAGCGAAGATTCCACAGATCACTTGGTCATTATGCCATGGCTGGCACAAACCAAAGACCATTTCTCCGCCCGATACGAAAAATGGTTGCCCACGTGACCAGCTCTTTTTTAATTACTGCAATGGATTGGCTGCATAAAAGAAAACTACATGAAAGACTTGTCGACGTTGAGGCCACAAGCTTGCCATTACGCCTTTCTATCCCGCCTATCCAGTCCGCCTATCTATCCCGCCTATCCATCCCCAAACGTTCGGTCGACGTTCTGGCCATCCATGTGCGAAGGATGAGAGTCAACATCTACGTGACACACCACTAACCTGGGGGAAAGCTGCGTACGTTTGCTTGGCTCTGGTGATTGCCGGTCTAGCAAACCCATCCGATAAGTTTCTTGATACAAGTGGAGTAATGCAACTGAACGTTCATTCTACCAGTCTAAATTCGTTAATTAGACGGTCAAACTAGTTGCGGTGACATGGACGCGAGTATCGACTTGCAGATGGACGCAAGTATCGACTTGCAGATGGACACTTTCACGTTGCAGCTATTTACGTTATACTTGTTTTGGTTCCCTGATGCGTGTGATTTTCGGCAAACAGGCTCACGTATGAGCTGACGTTGACATTTGTTGGTACACGCTAAAATTGGTCGATTACATAGAAGTCCTCACTTTTCATGGCTAACGTGGTACGCTTTTCTTCCTCGTGGAAGGTGCTACTGATTTATCCGCCCACGCAAATTTCTACTGTTCTTATGTGAGAAAGCGACATCTAACATCCTACCTGAATTGTCGCCGGATCATCCCACGAGTACCTCCCGTCTACGAACACACGTCTTCTCACGAACGATGCTGAGAATTTTACCTTCCTTTTATGTCGAGAACTATAGCTGCACTAGAACGACCAGCAACATTCGCTACGACTTAACCCGTCCAAATCACTTGGACTTTCTTCGACAGCATACCAAATTTGTGAAACAGCTGTTGTCATTATGACGATGAACAATCGACGATCGAGTTGAACAAAAAGGTTGCTAGAGTCAGCACGATCACCATGACATACCCGATCATGATGATAGTGCTGACTCTTTGTCGTTGACGATAACACGACATCGTGGTTCTCCCGGTGTACGACTTCGTGGTTCTTCGAGCACAATACATTTTGATCCTTGCAGCACAATCACTTCTGTAACAAAGACTTGGTCAAGATGCGCATCGCTCCCGGCTTTCTAATAATGGCAGCTTTGCTCGCAAGCCAATGCAACGCAGACACCGCTGTAGCTGTTTCGTCCGCCAACACCGCTACGACTCCGTCTGCTGATGACGAGGAGCCGAACGATTTTGGATCGGTTGTAAAGAAAATCCGTTTCGTACACGGCAATCTAACGGGAACCCTGGTCGTGGCGGTTGACCCGGACAGCTTACACGAGCTCAGCAAAGAAGAGTTGGCTTCAATGGACACGCAAAAGATGCTAGATATCAAGGAGGCGAGTGAGTTGGTACCAGGTAAAGGGGAAGAGCGGCGGTGGATATACAGTAACCTCCCGTTCTTTCAAAACTTTCTGCTTAAATTCAGCTCTAAAGTTGATGTGGCCAAGTTGGCGAAGTTTCTTGAAAGAAGACCCAAGAAAAATACGTAGTGTCACCTACGCTGCACTTGAGCACACACTTATTTTTCAGCTAACCCGGTGGAGAGAGATCCTTTCGAGTAAAATTGATCAATAAAATTGTACACGTCAATGTTCTCCCGTTAAAAAAATGTTTCCTTGTCCCGAAACGTGCACTGTCGTCAATTTCGTATGGTAAGTAGTAGAGTAAAATCATACCGAACGTACCATAAGGGACTGTAAAAGTGCTAGCATACTGAACAGGTCAGTCTGCTGGGTTCAAATTCTGGTCATCATACTACAGAAATAACTGTACACTTTAAAAGAAACTACAGCACAAATTGGTAAAACCTCGACAGTATGGTAGAGACGAACCACACTAGTACGATTTGCACCTACTGCGCTTGGCATAAATTATCACACACCGATAACGCAACCTTCCACGGAATTTGTCAACGACGAGTCAAGCAAACCTCACTTAAAGCTTGTAAGTTATTCGTCTGATGACGATTCCTAGATAGTCCATCAACAGCAGCAGACGCAAGGTCTGTTGTAAAATATGAGCGCAGCAGCTTTGGTCGAGAAGCTTGTTGACGAGTTGTATGGGTCGCCTTAGGCCATCGATCAATGTCTCCATGTAGGGCTACAATCCAAATCCGAATGCGATTCGACTCTTCACCACAGGTAGTAGTAGCAAGTCACTCGGGAAATTGCATGTCTAGTCCCGCAGCATCAGAAACAGACATGGTTATCATTTGCTATAATGCACAGCTACTGCAGATAGCGTGAGCAGCTATTACCACTAGATACCATGTAACGGGGTGAATCGTTACATAACAATTTATAAGAAATTGTTAATAGAATATAACTATAAGAGTTATATTCTCAGAATATTGTCATAAGGACAATATTCTGTAGCACTTCCAAGTAGTTCCTAATTGGTTGATATAGGCCATTATATCAACCAACGAAGACGCGCCACGACAGACGCACGCAATGAGTGGTGAGCAGATAACTGATTTACACATTTGTATTTAGACATAGTTAGATGAAGATAAATAGTGATTTATTGCAGACATTAACTATTATAAATACAGTTCTACTTTTTACTCTAACCGAGTACTCGCTTCTTCTTACCGTCTTCCTCTGCACGTACGAGTGTACGTGAAGTTACGAGGCACCGCCTTATTCTGTTATCAGAATAAGTAGCTTGTACTGTCACCAGTACAAGCTTCAGGGTGCCCCGTTACACCTGGTAGCACTTCGTAGTCCGTCCAAGGACCGCGTTCACATCCAACATGAATATGTTGGATGATGAAGATGACCAAAGCTTTCACGCTACGCGTGACGGCTACTCCCATTTGAGCGATGTCGAATGGGATGCGGTTGAACGAATGGGTTCGACCATGGGCATCCATGCTGTTAGCGTCATGCTAGAGGCTCTCAATAGAGATGCCCAACATGCTACTATCGCCAAGTTCATTCAAAATGAACTTGACGCAGAACGCGAGAAAGTAGCCTTGCTTCACCAACAAGGTTCTCAACAAGCAGAGTTGTTGAGAGAACAAGGTGCTCAACAGTTTGAACTGTTGAGACAGCAGCAGGCTGCTGCTGGCGGGTCGATGCACTCGCGTCGGCCCGAGACTTTGAAGATTGACATCTCAAAGTATAGGGGGGTCGAAGAAGACTCCCTCTTGAGATGGTTCGTCGAATTGGATGACGCCATAAGGGCGCGTCGCATCGACGACGGGGATATGCAAGTTGCATTTGCCCAGTCAAATCTGGCAGGACGTGCCAAGACTTGGGCACTGGGGCTCAAGCTGCACGACCCATATGCGTTTGGGTCGTTGGAAGTCTTCAAGTCGCGGCTCAGACAAACGTTTGAACCGCCTAGAGCTGAGTTCAGAGCTCGAACCGAACTCTTGAAGCTCAAGCAGGGTAAGCGTGATGTGCACGCTTACGCTCAACATATACGACATCTCACGAGTTGTATAAGTTCCAATCCAGTGGATGAACACACGTTGGTTTCGGTGTTCATGCAGGGTCTTGCGGATGGTCCCGTCAAGACTCACCTGTTCCGGCTTGAACTAGATTCACTAGAACAAGCCATTTCAATTGCGGAGCAGGAAGACTTCAGTCTGAGACAGGCTCGCGCCAGCTCGACATCATATCGTCAACCGAGACGATATGACAACGGAGGTCCAGAGCCGATGGAACTCTGTTATGTAGAGAGCGAGAAGGCTCGCTCTACAGGCTACAAGAAGTTGCAGAGATGCAACAGATGTCAAAAGACAGGACACTACGCTTACGAGTGTAGTGCCCCTCGTCCAGTGTCTCGCGACACTGGGCGTAGTGACCGTCCACCCATGAGAAAGGGGCAGGGACGAGGGTCCGCAGTTGGTGCAAAGACGCAACAACGGGATGGACCGTCAAAAAACGGACAGGATCAGTAGGTGCGGAGCACCCTACTGATCCAGCAACGTCAAGAGAATTTGTAGGCCTCTTGATGAAGGTTGCTCCCAACACACAGACATTGTGCGTTGCTGCTCTAGGTAATGAGATCTCACTCATTACCTTGAAACTCGAAGTGACGAATAAGTTGTCCCTTCGAGCTCTAGTCGATTGTGGGGCGTCCAACAATTTTGTGCGACGCCAATCGCTAGAAGATGGTCACTTTAAATTCAGTGAATGTGACACACCTCCTACGAGGATGACGGTACGTCTTGCGACAGGCGCATCCGTAACCGTCATGAAGCGTATAGTGAAGATCCACTATACGCTAGAAGATACCCAATACGACGATGACTTTATCGTATTGGATTTGGATGACAAATTTGATGTCATCCTTGGAATACCGTGGCTCAGAAGGTACGAACCACGGGTAAACTGGCAACATCGGACAGTAACGATGCCTGCCGCTTGTTCATCAGATGGCCATCTGATGAACGTTTTGGAGCGTCCACAAGCGTGTGGATGTACTACGAGTGAGTGCGATGGCCTCACTTGTGGTACGGTCGTTAGTACGACTGCACAAAACCTTAGTGTACCAAACGGTTACACTTCGGAGCCAAGTTCCGGCGGCTGTGAGGAAACACAGGCTGCGCCGAAGGTCCACCACTCGAATAAGTCGGGTGGACTGGGACAAAGATGTATCCCTAGAGGGGAACATCTAGAAGAGAAACAATCGATCGCTCAGGTTAAGCGAAACGATAATCCTAGATCGACTGGAGAGTCTTTCGTAGAGGATCTCGCTGTGGTTGCGCAACCCCAGCTAGAGGAAGTAAAGGGAATAAGTCCCAAGATTACAAATACGGCGGAAATAAGTTCCCCGAAACCCGCGGGAATAAGTCCCCGGGAAGACGAAGGAATAAGTCCTTCGAAGCCTGAGGGAATAAGTCCCCAGGAAATGACAGAGACATTGAATGTCATAGTCAATAACGGATCATGTGTAGGCGCTTATACACTTGATCTGATTGCGCCTCCGAAGTTAACTTCGGAGATCACTCAGTTGCCAACGCTCGAACATAAAAGGTTCTTGCGTGATCTGCGTAGTGGCAAAGTCAAGCAGATCTGCATACTCGTCGCTGACGACGAGTATGTAACCGACATAAGGTCAGCAACAGTGTTTACTGAGAACGAGAGAGTTCTCAGTAGTTCATCTATGGACGAGAGTGCCCTAGATGAAAAGACACGAATTGAGCGATATGAGTCCCAATCATGGGAATCGCTCAAGGAAAATCCTCTCTATGAAGATTTGGTTGAATTCAAGGATGTATTCCCTGAAACTGTTCCGTGCGAATTACCGAAGGATAAAGGTATTCGACACGAAGTCGAGCTTAAACCAGGCTCGAAGTACTGTGTCATGAAGCAGTGGCCACTGCCTCGTGAACAAGTACTTGCGATCGACAAGTTCTTTGCCGATCGTTTAGCAGCGGGCCATGTGAGGGAATCAACTTCCCCACATAGCTCTCCGACCTTCTGTGTGCGAAAAGCAACAGGAGGGTGGCGGATAGTGCATGCATTTAACAAATTGAACGCTGCAACGGTACCGGCTCAGACGCCGATACCGAGGAAGGACGTAATCATTGATGGTATGTCAAAGAGTACCATCTTTTCGTCCATGGATTTGATGGATGGCTTCTATCAAATCCTAATGCGGGAACGGGATATACCCTATACCGCAGTTAGCACGCCTAGCGGCATGCTCTGGGAATGGCTAGTAATGCCACAAGGGCTCAGTAATGCCCCTGCCACGTTCAACAGGTGTGTATCACATCTGTTGAGGCCAGTACGAGAATTCGCGCCGAGTTATTTCGATGACGTATTCATCCATAGTCGAGCTATGGATGGAAAGTCGGACGTTGAGGTTCACAAGTACCACGTCCGACAAGTTCTTACAATCATGCGAAAGCATCAATTGTATGCAAACCTCAAGAAGTGTATATTTGCAGCAAGCGAAATACCACTTCTTGGGTGCATCGTTGGTAAGAACGGTGTACGTCCTGATCCCGAAAAGATCAAGGCGATCACCGACTGGCCCGTGCCGGTCGATGTCAAAGGTCTTCGAAAATTCCTTGGGCTAGCGGCGTATTTGCATAAGTATTCACGCAATTACGCCGAGATGACTGTACACCTCTCTCGTTTGTTGAAAAAGAACGAGAGGTGGTTATGGAACGCTGAATGTCAACGCTCCTTTGAGGGTATCAAGCAGAGCTTGATACAATCCCCAGTCCTAGCAATAGCCGATCAGGACAGGCCATTTCATGTGGTCTGTGATGCCAGCGATTTCGCAATCGGCTGTGCATTAATGCAGTACGACCTTGAAGGCGTTGAACGCGTCGTCTGCTATCAGTCGCGTCAGCTGCAACCAGCTGAGCGGAACTATCCAGTGCATGACAAGGAACTCCTTGCCATGAAGTATGCACTCGCGAAGTTCAGAGTCTATCTATTAGGAGATAGACCCTTCGTTGTTTACACTGACCATGCGTCCTTACGCACGGCAGTGAACAGCCCGCACCTTTCACAACGAATGGCGCGGTGGTTGTCATTCTTTGCAGAATACAACTTTACGGTCGAGTACAAACCAGGACGACTTAATGTCGTCGCTGATGCACTCTCACGTCGTCCCGACTTTGAAACAGTCGCGAAACCCAACAGTGAGACAGTCACTGTTGCGGTTATGACGTCCTCAGTTCCATCTACAACGTTGTATGATGATGTGAGGCGGGCATACGCCCAAGATGGTGAGATAGTGAAGTTGTTGTCACATCTCTCCCAACCATCTCGAGAATCGTTGAAACGATTGTCGTCTGCGTATCGATCTGCATCAGATCGATACACTACTCGTAACGGTTTACTGTACTATACAGCCGTTTCTGGTGACACACCACGTGTTGTCATTCCAGATGATACTGATCTGCGTTTGCGGATCATGTTCGAGTATCACGATGCTCCTATAGGAGGACATCGTGGCCGAGAGAAAACATATCTCACGGTAAGTCGAGACTTTTACTGGCCCCGCCAGTATCAGTTTGTGCGAAAGTATGTTCGCGCATGCGAAGTCTGCCAACGAGTGAAGTCAAGTCCTTCACTGCGTGCACCTTTACAGCCTCTACCGGTTCCGGCTGAGTGCTGGGAATCCATCTCAATGGATTTCGTCTTCGGGTTACCCAAAGACGCACGCGGGAATACGGGTATTCTCGTATTTGTTGACAGATTCAGCAAAATGGTACACCTTGTGGCTGTACCAGAGACAATCACGGCAAGTGGCTGTGCTTGTGTCTTTATTGACACCATCTTCCGACTTCATGGGTTGCCCCGTGAACTCGTATCAGACAGAGATCCACGATTCACTGCTGATTTCTGGCGTTCCGTGTTCAAATCACTCGGAACGCGCTTGAAGATGTCAACATCTGATCATCCAGAGTCAGATGGTCAGACGGAACGTGCCAATCGTGTCCTTGAAGAGATACTTCGAGGATACGTACACTCCTTTAAGAGTTGGAGTGAGTTTTTGCCGATGGTAGAGTTTGCCATCAACAACTCGGTGCATGCGTCCACGACACATACACCGTTTTACGTGAATGGCTTGCGCCATCCGCGTGTACCCACCTTACTAGAGTGTAACTCTGGTTTAAGGGGGGAGGGACTCGCGCGAGCAAAAACCGATTTGGTTCACGCTCATCACGCTCTGACGAAGAAGTCATTGCGTTTGATGCCGATATCGATAACATCGATATCGAAGAAGATGATGCCAGTGAGAGTGCGGAAGCCCTCACTGAAGACAATGATCCCAGTGAGAGTGCGGAAGCCCTCACTGAAGAAAAGGTTGTTGTCGCTGCAGTGCGCTCACAGCACACTGAAGCTAACGAGTCATCAGATGAGTTCATACTGGCTCGTGAAACGGTAGTCCGTTTTGTGCAAGACTCCATCGCCGAAGCGGTGGATAAGCAAAAGCAAAACGCTGACAAGAATGGAAGGGCAAACACTCTTTTATTTAATAAAGGTGACTTAGTCCTACTGTCTACGGTTAATCTACCAAAACATGTAGTGACTAACTTGGGTAGCAGTAAACTACTACCCAAGTACATTGGCCCATTTCGTGTATTGCACCGCCTAGGCAATGCATACACGATCGAGTTACCACGTAAGATGCGAACGCATCCCACGTTTTACGTTGGTCGGCTTAAGCCGTACCATCAGTACGCTGCTTCTTCCGATGAAGAACGCCCTTGCGCTCAAGCATCTCGCAGAGAGCCTTGTGCTCCCGATGGTGGGCATCAACAAGGGTCTGAAGAGCAGTTATCTCAGCCCGAGACCGATCAACAATCCCACGAGCTACCCTTAGCTCGTCACGAAGAGATGTCAGAGATCTCTCGTTCTCAAGCTGAGCAAAGGCAAACTCAGCTCGATGCTTCGAGGCAGTGTCCACCATCTGGAGACGCCTATTCCGCTCATGCTCGAGATCGTCGCGTAACCCTTGCGTTACGCGATCAAAGAAGCTCTCGGGAACACACCGATCCACATGATCGTGTGGAGAGCGTCTTTCCTCCTCCTCCACCTCCATTAGAGGACTCTCGCGGTGGCCAGCGCTATCTAGTTGAGCAGCTGTTGAACCACCGCGACGTGAACGGACGTCGGACGAGTTACCTCGTCCGGTGGCGCGGCTATCCCCCGTCCTGGGATTCTTGGGAGCCCCGCTCCCAATTGATGGTTGACGTACTGGGTCTGGTCGAGCAGTACGACGCGACACATCCTGTGCCGCAGAAGGACCGCCGGAGAAAGTCTTCCCGGCACGGTCGTAAAGGGATTTCAGGTTGTCAATCCCTTCGTACATCTCAGTAGAGACACGTACGCGCCACCACGGGCTGGTAAGGAGGTAAGCCTCCTTAGGTGCTCGTGCAGAGTTGTTCACACAACATGGGCACGAGTCTCCCCAAGAGAGGCAGGGTAATCCTTTCTCCCTTGACAGACGATGCAGCTTATAGCGTGCACCTGTCGGGGTTCGCTTTTCAAACTTATCACGAGCTTTGATAAGTTTGTCGTTCCAAGCGTCACGACCTACATCCTCGAGATTATGGATGTAGGCGTTCCACGCCTGAAGTAGTGAGGGACCATCACGTTTGTGATTCCCACTGTACCATCGATGTCTGAAGAAAGCATCGATGAAGAACTCATGTTCAGCGCGATAGTCTTTCGCGCTGGGGTCAAGGTGATGAATCCTTGACGAATCGAACAATCGTGTTCGATAACGATCACTCGTCGTCGCCGACAAGTGATCCATGACGGATTTAGGAGGCATCCATGCCTTCTTTTTCTGGAGCGAGACGCAACACATTGCGGTCCCGCTCTTCCTGCGACGTGCCGACAGAAGTACTGGCACCTCGCTGTGAAGTGGTGTCCATTGGAGAAACGACACCACTATTAGCGCCCGAGTCTCGCGACCTCGAGCGCCTTCGCTTCGGCGATGGTTCATCTGACTCATCAGATGAACCAAAGATGCTGCGACGCAAAGCATCGTCCATGCCACGCTTGGCAGGCGGCTTGGATTCAATTGCCGTCGATACGGATCCGTCATCCGTATCAGGAGAGTACGAGACACCGAGCTCGTACTCTGTGAAGACACGAGTGTCTTCATGACCAGCGCCTGCATCACCAGGTGATACAGGCTGAGTCGATTCAGCAACCGATGCTGCGACGCAAAGCATCGTCCATGCCACGCTTGGCAGGCGGCTTGGATTCAATTGCCGTCGATACGGATCCGTCATCCGTATCAGGAGAGTACGAGACACCGAGCTCGTACTCTGTGAAGACACGAGTGTCTTCATGGCCAGCGCCTGCATCACCAGGTGATACAGGCTGAGTCGATTCAGCAACCGATGGGACATCAGTTGCTGTAGTTTCTGCTTCGGCGTCCGCACAGAGACGTGCAGACGCGCTCTCGGCGGCCTTGCTCGCGCATCGCATGGGCTTGTTTACCATGCGATGAGATGTTGGAAAGTGGACGCGGACCAACAAGTGCAAACCCCGTCCCAAATGATTTGGGACGAGTATCCATTTAGTCAATCAGTCACTAAAGTGACTGATGGTTAAGGGGGGTGATGTAACGGGGTGAATCGTTACATAACAATTTATAAGAAATTGTTAATAGAATATAACTATAAGAGTTATATTCTCAGAATATTGTCATAAGGACAATATTCTGTAGCACTTCCAAGTAGTTCCTAATTGGTTGATATAGGCCATTATATCAACCAACGAAGACGCGCCACGACAGACGCACGCAATGAGTGGTGAGCAGATAACTGATTTACACATTTGTATTTAGACATAGTTAGATGAAGATAAATAGTGATTTATTGCAGACATTAACTATTATAAATACAGTTCTACTTTTTACTCTAACCGAGTACTCGCTTCTTCTTACCGTCTTCCTCTGCACGTACGAGTGTACGTGAAGTTACGAGGCACCGCCTTATTCTGTTATCAGAATAAGTAGCTTGTACTGTCACCAGTACAAGCTTCAGGGTGCCCCGTTACATACCATGCCACCCAGCATCTCTTTACCACAGTCTCACGTCTGGAGCAGATGCATTGTATGAAAGAATGCCAACTAGCACTACTTAATAAACCGGAAGTCATACGTCATCCATTCTTTCCATCAGAAAAAAAGGTGGGCTCAATCAAGGGGCATCGGATCACAAGTGCAGCAGTCATGATACGTTTATGTCATACGGGCTCGATAATTATCAAACCTGAGAGTGAGCACGATAGTTATCATCCCTATAATGTTGTATATCCAGTACAGTCATAGATTTAACGGCATCCAGAATGCTGCTGTTTTAGCGAGCATGTCCTTCGTGGTGATGCATCATAGTATCACTCGTTTGAATCCACAAACACTCTCGTAAAATATGACGGACGCAATCCGCGCAAATGCGTACCATTTTCAGCAGACTTTATTGCTGAAAATGGTTATTGAGAGATGTGTATATTACGTACGTCGATGCACGATGAGCAGAAGAAGCGGTACATTACGGGAAGCTACTTCGACGTTAGATGTATCGTCGTCACTCTTGCGTGTCGTCTTTATGCTTACACGTTGGCAGCAACATCGAAATATCCAATATAGGCACTTGATGTACACCTTCGTGATAGAAACTGTCGTTCAGTGCGACCTATGCGCAAACGTTGATACTACAGAATCCCACCTCCATAGAACTTGCGCATTTTGTTGATTTACAAGCCGTAATTGTAACGGGGTAGCCCGTTACATGACCTTGTTAGCAAACGGTGTCAACAGGAAGATTGTCTACCGTGACAATTCCCTGCCAATATTACCCGAGATACGTAATGTTGAAGGAACATTATCCCCTTGTAGGATAATTTTCATGCGCTTCTCAAAGATTGGTTGATAAAAGACACATCAACCAAGATTACCACCAATCGCTGCTAGATGCGCTTAATGAGTGGTGACCAGGTTGTCGTCATGCTACAATGTAGATTAACATAGCTAGACAAAGACATTGATAGCTTAACTACAAGAAATGCAGATTCCTCTTTACCTTTACTCAAACTAGCTGTTTGAGTAGATTAGCTTCCTCTGCACGTACGATTGTACGTGAAGTTTTGTGGCACCCAAACAAATAGTGCATCATTACAACTGTGGTGTGCGAATAACCACGGCGTTTACGTAATAATTGGAAGTAATAAGCGAAAGTTAATGATTGACAACCTACAGCGCAGGGTTCAAGCATTCGTGAAAAATGTTTGCTTTGTCGACATTTCAAGGGTCATTCAATTGTGCATCAAGATTGGTCGACAACAGATGTCGCGACCGAGCGCGATGAAAATCTTCTCGTAGACTACCTCTTTTTTGGCGATAGCAACTTAGGTAATATTTATTGCCTGGTGATTAATGATGCATTAGGCTGCTTCTGTGAGTCTATTGCTTCTGAAACAGCGAGGGTCGCAGCTGACAGACCGACAACGGAACGCATTTTTGCAACCAAGTTATGGCTACTGTGACTGCTAAACACAATATGATGCACAAACTGTTACGGGGCATTGATAACTGGTACAGCTTAAGTGCTAGTGCACCTACACCGACAACAGTAGAGGTAGTGCCGCCCTTCACTTCACGTACAACGTACTTGCAGAAGAAGGCTAGCTAATGAACGAAGTGTTCAACAGGAGCAGAAAGTAAGACTGTTCTAAATTTAATGAAGTCCTTAATGCATGTACCTATGTTCAGTCCAAACTAAAATATTTTAATCTACAGAAGTGCATGCTAAAGTCTTTCTCAACACACTTCGCGTGCGTCCATCGTTATTTGAACCGCTAGAGCTGGCTGATGTGATGGCCCATATCAGTCAGTCGGTGAGTGTTTTGGAATTTTACCCTTTTGGAATTTTACCCTTAAGTGATAGTCGCGAGCAAAAAAAGTTTCATGGTTAATTATATATAACATGCTCACCCTATTACATCACGCCCTTATATAATAGTCACTCAGTCACTATCATGTTGATGCGGTTACCGTTTGACCGCATCAGGGATAGGGAGCACTTGTCATGGTCTGATTTAGTCATTGATAAATTTTCAATGCATGTTTAGAGGTCCGTGGAATGTAAGGCTTAAGTTGATGAGAAGGTAGCTGCGCGTGTAAACGAAGCTGCTCATGACGACGCCCAGAATCTTGCGGCATGAGATGCTTCGTTTGCCTGCTGCCGCTTTAACAATTCCTGCAGCACTAGTTGCTGCGTGGTCACGTGGTGACACACCACGTGCTATTAAAGATAATAGTTCCCAAGAGGAAATAATCTTATCGGGTAATTCGGACATTGTGTCCGTTTCAAAGAAGACTCCTTTGTTGCCCGGCCTAAAAGAGCGACCGAATACTAGCCTACAAAAAGGACTTGAGCAGGAATTAGGATAATGTTACTACCCGAGCCTGTTTAAATTGTAGGGTAAGCATGTGTACTCATCCTTCACGCCTGCTACTGCAATTTCGCTTCCCGGTAAATGCGGCAATGGTATGCATAGTCGTGATGACGATACTAGTGGTACCAAAACTTCCGTTGGTACCATGCAGGACACTCCAGACGGCAATTGGAATTGTCTAGTCCCTGATCACAAGCTCAGCGTTTTTATAGAAAGGCTTGTGGATGAATTGTCTTAAGAGACAAGTCTACATGACTTAATAATATTGTACAATGCAAGGCTATTACACGGCTGTTACACATCAGCGCAAGAAATTTCGCGCTAAAGACGACTGAACCTCGATGCTTTTCTAGAGCATCTTTGGTCCAGCAGCAACCACAAGCAAGACGAAAAGCTTGTTTATGCAGGCATGGAACGCCTTCATACTTAATGTGCAGCACATTGGGCGTGATTCCTGGCTTGAAAGTTAACGCAGCTCGCGTCAGATTTGAACGATGAACCTTAGCTGATGCAAACGTCAGGTTACATCATCTGTACCGTGATTCAGGAATTCCATGCCTCACACGGGGCAACCCTTATCCGTTTTGGTTCGGCAACGATTATTGCATTCAAAGGGAAGTGTACTTCCTTTCTTCGCCCTAAGGTAGGGCACGCATCTCTTCTTTAATGCTCGGTGCGATTGCTTACCTTCAATTGATCTACCAGCACCATGAGAGCGTCATTTCCGATGGCCCTTCTAAGTCATCAAATGTGTCTCATTGCGCTGGTGGGCGAGACCCTCAACATCAAGCAAGAGCTAGGCGCGAGGCGCCAAGCTGTCGTGCGACGACGAATAGCCGCTCCAGCGAACAAATAACTCGTTTGCCGCTCCTTCACGTCTCGATGGTCCACGATACGCTCCACGTGAAAGCGTTGACCACCGTGCGAGTCCACGAACGACTGTGGTGGAAGCGGTAAGGTCAACTTTAAAGTATTTGTTGAGCTTGCAAACTGAGCTTGACCGCGTTTAGAAACGTTAGCCTTCTGTTTGATCACACCAATAACAGGAAAAAGGAGCGTCTCTCATTGGATGCGTGTATGCAACGCCTCCGCTTTCATCTCTTTGATGACCAAGCATAGTTCGCAGTATCCAAACTGTAAAACATGCAGATGCGTCAAGCCTTTCGCGACGAAGTGTCGCAGAATCGTCTTCAACATGCGACACTATACTGACAGATCAATTAACTGTATCGGGACTTACAAAATATTTTGAAGGTTCTTGAGCTTAACAAGTGCATTCGCCCCAAGAAGAGACCTCATGCTGATGGTACGGGCGGAGACGGCCGACATAAACCGTAGGATGCGTACGTATTCTGCGAGGCAAATCGATCGTGCATACCTTGCCTTTGCGATATAGTGCACGAAACGGGCTAATGTACTTGGGCAATACTATATCTCTACCCTCATTATTTTACGTGATCAGGTCTATTTTCCGTAGACAAAAAGATAATTTCATTATTATTAGATAGAAAAACGTATTTTCTTTCGTGTTTTTCAGCTTTCCGTTCCTGCCGGTCCACCTCATTAGCTACGGGAGTCTTGTACGAAACAGACCACCGATTTTGAGTCGACAGAGAGTTCTTAGCTACCTCTGTTGTGTTTGTACCAGTGCTCTTGTTGCCTTCTTTTTAGAAAGGCCTTTCTTCTATTTCAGCGAAAAAGTCATCGTCTCCGCTAGAATAGTCAATAGCGATGATGAACATTCCAGCGTTTCGTTTTCGGCTGGGTCAGCAATAGTGTCGTCACATCTGCTGATGTTATCTTCTTTGAAGTCGAATCGATCGACATCGGCATCGTTCTTGTCGTCGAGCACTTCGACACGTGATGATCAAGAGCCAGAGCGGATTTTGCTCGAGCGGATCCCTTCCCTACGTAAGATACACATCCTAAATGGGTGGGTAGGCATGGATGACGTTAGTCATTCACGGAGAAAGGTGTATACGATGTCGACAAACGCACGGAGCTGTTAATGTAAAGCTCCATAATCG